CTTGATTTTGTTGTGTTTTGTGGCTGAAAAAGCAGTCTTGCTTCTTCAGATATTGTAGGTACTTGGATATATAATAGTTTAGCAAGATGTTACTTTTGAAAGATATCAGATGTTAAAAAAAAGTGCATCCAAATTTGTACTAAATACTGCAGTGTCCCTTTACAAAAAATCAGACTAAAACTGACAATTGTACAGCAAAGCCTGACATTTAGATATTTTGAAGTTTTTCCATAAATCATGGAAATTAGTATATGGCTGTAGTTTAGCTTTTTAGGTAAAAGGTATATTTCATTAGTGCTTTTTTACTGCTGATCACTGCAAAAATGTGAGTCAGCTTTCCGTTTCTTATGCAGGTCATGATAATTTGTAGAATAGAGTACAATCATTTGTGCTGTTTTTAATTTTCTAAAGCACCTTGATGACAGTGAGTGTTCAGTGGTGAAGCATCCTCAAAAAACTTGAATCACCCTCAAAAAATTTTTTGCCTAGTCCTAAATAGATAGCTTAAAGTCAAAAGTGAAATTATAGTTTAATTAGGACTTGGTATAAGGAAATCCCTTCCCCCTTCCCCAAAGGGATACTGCAGTTATATCACAATACCCAATAGACACCACAATGAAGATCAGAGCTTATTATATTTAATTAAGGTTTTATACACACCAGTTCCCCCAGTAAACGCAAATTTAACAAGAAAATTAGACATGTCATATGGTCAAAATGCTCATGGCAAACAATCATTTGCATTCCTGCAAATAAAACTGTTTTATACTGTAAGCTGGAGGCGAGTGTAACTTATTTTTGTAATAAAGTTTTTATTTTTTTATGTGTCATGAATATAAATGTGTTTAGTGTAGAAATATTCTGGTTTAAAAACTTAGAAATGCACACATTTTAGTATGTTTATTTGTACCCACATAATTTTATTTATTTATTTATTTTAAAGATTTATTTATTTATTTATTTATACAAGCACTGGGTACAGTCAGAAGCTGGGAGGGTGAGAGAATTCACCAGAGCCAGAGCAGGGAGAGGGACCGAAGTACACTGCTGAGGGGAGCAGCGGGCGGCAGGAGAGGTCTGCGCGCCATGTGGGACCCTCCTCCGGTGGCCGGGGAGCAGCCGGGGATAGAGCCGGAGCTGAGGAGGCTGCAAGGAGCTTCGCAACCCAGCGCTCAACCGCTGCGCCACCGGGGAGGCCCCCCACATAATTTTAGAATAGTGGTTGCCAATAGCCTGTATGTTTCACATTAATTTTTTTTTGTTATCTTAATAAACCATTTTAGTATGGAAAAAAAAAGCAGTGTATTTTAGTAGATCTACCCGTTCTGCTCCCCACTCTCTCTGGTGGGAAGACCCCTGCACCTCTGCCCTACACCCCAGTTCTTCTACACAAAAATAAATTTTAAAAAAAATTTGAAAATTTAACCCATACTATGAAGTGGCTCACCTGGTCTACTGCATGAGCTATTCACTCTCAACAGGGGTTCCCTGACTCGCTAACTCATCTTGTTCTAGATTGTAAATTGCCTTAGACCACCTCCTTGCAGCACCAGGAGGAATCTGCACCATCACAGATACTTCACATATGTGGATAAGTGTTCCTGTAATGTGGAGACAGAATCATCTACACTTTTCACAATTAGCTAAGTCCCTCAAAGGACACTCCTTTTCCATTCTTGGTTGACTCAACTTTAAATTCTGTCCAGGTCTTTGAGTGTCTTGTTGAATATTTTCCAATGTGTAAATTTTTTTATAAGATTTATTTATTTATGCAGACAAGAGCTGGGGTACAGGCCAGAGTTGCAGGGGGTGAGAGGATTCACCAGAGACAGAGTGGGGAACAGAACAGGCAGACAGACTGAAATACACTGCTGAGGGGAGCAGTGGGGGAGTCAGGAGAGGTCTGCTGCACCATATGGGTTGCTCCCTGGCTGGCTGGGGATTGAACTCATTCTGCAGAGGTTGTGGACAGCTTCATAGGTTGTGGCTTAACCCCTTGAGCCACCAGGGAGGCCCTCCAATGTGTAATTTTGGGGAAGACCTCAGGGATGACTGTCAGGAGGTCCTTTCCTAATTTAAGAGCCTTTGTCTGATCAGTTCCTTTTTTTTTCCAAAAAAAATCTTGTAAGGGATTTTCTTTTTTTTTTTTTGGTAAGATTTATTTATTTATTTATACAAGCACTGGGTACAGTCAGAAGCGCGGGAGGGTGAGAGAATTCACCAGAGCCAGAGCGGGGAGCAGAGCAGGCAGAAGGACCAAAGTACACTGCTGAGGGGAGCAGCGGGCGGCAGGAGAGGTCTGCGCACCATGCAGGACCCTCCTCCAGTGGCCGGGGAGCAGCCGGGGATTGAACCAGCGCCAGGGAGCAGCCGGGGATCGAACCAGCGCTGCAGAGGCTGCGGGCAGCTTCGCAACCCAGCGCTCAACCGCTGCACCACCGGGGAGGCCCAATCTTGTAAGGGATTTTTTCAGTTTACTTTAGTCATTCATTTCTAATATCTACAAGCATATAAATAAGTGGATATAAGTCAGCAAAACCTGGTGCGTAAGTTTGGAAGACCAACAAACTCTTTGGCAAAGGCTGTAAGAACATCAGGGGATTCTTTTGTAATCATCCAAAGTTTAGCTAACCAAAGGGGTGCCTGATCAGCCCTCATTTGGCTGTACTTTAAAAGGGGCAACAAGGGAAAATAAATAAATAAAAATAAAATAAAAGGGGCAACAAGGAACTGGGTGTCTAAGGAACCTTCAGTTTCATCTTTATAGAAAGTAAGTTCAGCCAGAGAGGAGCATTTAGGACCGGGACAGCTGGAAGAAGGACATGGGGGAATGGGAGAGGCAGAGGAATGAGCAGTGGAAGAAGAGTCAGAGAACCCTTTAATCTTGGCAAGTCTTTTTGAGAAGTCAAATTTTTCTTCTTTAAGTTTTCTATCAGGGCCTCGCCTCCCCGGTGGCGCAGCGGTTGAGCGCTGGGTTGTGAAGCTGCCCGCAGCTTCTGCAGCGCTGGTTCCATCCCCAGCTGCCAGGCGAGGGTCCTGAATGGCACGCAGACCTCTCCTGCCACCCGCTGCTCCCCTCAGCAGTGTACCTCGGTCCTTCTGCCTGCTCTGCTCCCGCTCCCGCTCTGGTGAATTCTCTCACCCTCCCGCGCTTCTGACTGTACCCAGTGCTTGTATAAATAAATAAATCTTTAAAAAAAAAAAGTTTTCTATCAGCTGCCTGCAAAGAGGCCAATTTATAGGTATTGTTTTTAGAAACCTCGAGGCACCAATTAAAATCAGCTTCTCGGGCCTCCCTGGTGGCGCAGTGGTTGAGCGCTGGGTTGCGAAGCTGCCCGCAGCCTCTGCAGCGCCGGTTCGATCCCCGGCTGCTCCCCGGCCGCCGGAGGAGGGTCCCGCATGGCGCGCAGCCCTCTCCTGCCGCCCGCTGCTCCCCTCAGCAGTGTACTTCAGTCCTTCTGCCTGCTCTGCTCCCCGCTCTGGCTCTGGTGAATTCTCTCACCCTCCCGCGCTTCTGACTGTACCCAGTGCATGTATAAACAAAAAAACAAACAAATAAATAAATAATAAAACATGCCTCAATAAAATAAATAAATAAAAAATTTAAAAAAAAATAAAATAAAATAAAATCAGCTTCTCATTCAATTTGTCTACAATTCTTTTCTAATTAAGCCTGGGAACCAACAAAGTTAGGAATCCAAAAGGAGCCCCATTTGGTCAATGAAGGCTGAGATCATCCCAGGTAACATGTGTCCCATGGACAAAGAATTCACAGAATGAAGGACCATTTTCCTTAAATGTAAAACCAACAGGGATCCAAGAGGGAGGCGGCCCCCAGCACTTCCTTTACAACATTCATCATGGAGTACTCAGCAGAAGAGAACAAAGTCTCCCTCCAGACCAGTGACAGAAGACACCCAAATAAAGTGTGACCCTCAACCAAAGCCCTAGGACCCAGGAGGATTAGCACCAGGGCCAGAGAAGGAGGGTTTGGGGGTGGGGGGGGAGAGGGCGCTGGGGGAGGGGAGGGGTAAGTGATGGAGCACAATGGGCTCTGGCGGGTACCTCGTTTTCCTCTGCCCCCGGCGACATGGGATTCCCAGGGTGGTTGCTCTGGATCCCACTTCTCTGACATCATGAAATGTCAACGAATTGAGGCAAAACTGTAGAGAAAAACAAGAGTTTATCTGGGGTCTTAGGAATTGCAATTCAGGGGAACACAGAGTCAGTATAAAACAAAATTATGCTCCCTGAAAGGAGCTGGGCGCTTACAAGCAACTTACAGAACTGCCTTTGAACACTTAGGAATAATGGTGAGTCAAGACAGACATAGCTGTCGCTGTGGAACTAGACCATTGCTTGGTCTCTCTCTCAACTGCTACTGAAATTGCAGTTGTGAACAAGGTTCCGGGATGTTTGTTTATGGGATTTTCCATTAGACCATATCCAGGTAGAGACATGAGTAAGTTAAACTTCCTTCATGGCTTCTAAAGCTCCTTTTAGATTACCCTATAACTCCATATTGCCTCCTTATTTCCACACCTGGTTGAGCTATCTGTTCTTCAATGGCCTAAGGAGTTGAGTGACTTTGCCAAGGTCACACGCAGTGACAGAACACCTGAGCGCACTTACTGGAACACAGAGAAGGGTGGAAGCTTCTCAGGCCTTGCCAGACTGCCCAGCACCCTCCGGGGATCCGGCCCTGCCCAGCCTGCGGGAACCTGTGATCTTTTTGCTGGGATGGGATTGAATTCCCTGGGGCTCCAGTTCTGGACCTGGCCAGCAGCTCTAGTAACCAGAGCTGTGTGAGAAGAAAAGGCCAAGCCATTGGGGTAGCCGCACCCCAGAGGTGAGGTCTCAGATGAGTTACACCAGTGAGGGGCCACCTCCCCTGTCCCAAGGGCCACTGTTTACCCACAGTCCTGCCTCACAAGGACCCAGAACACTCGCTTCCCGGCCCCTTTATGTTCTCACCGTCCACCTGTGCCCACAGGGTTCTCTGCTCTGCCCTCCCCTAACAAACAGGTGTCCAGGAGTTAGGACATCTGCCTCTCATCCCCTCCCCTGGGCCTCCAGAGATATGAGATGCACACAGGGCTCTGGGTGGGGCCTTCAGACTCCCTACTTCCCCCTTCCAGGCACAGATCCTCTCAAATTCCCGGATGGGCTCCAGCCAGGAAGGGTGGGGCTGCTCCTGGGACCATCAAGAGTCCCTAGCTGCCCAGGCAAGTGACAGAACTGTGGCGGAAGCTGACTTTCACCCATCTCTGAGCCACCAGCTGACTCAAATGTGCCATGTCCAGGCACCTGGTCCTCCCACTTGTGATGCTCGGTAACCTAAGGGGAAAAGGGATGGCTGCTAGGGGGCTGGGCCTGGCATCTGGGAAGCCAGAACCAAGGATTTTTGGCTCTGCAAAGGGAGTGGGGTATCAGAGGAGGAAGGGGAGCAGTGTATCAGAAGGAGAGTGAGGTGTCAGGAGGGAGAGGATACTGTTATCCAGGGAGAGGGGAAAGGGTGACCTCCTTTTGGGGAGGAGTTTCTGAAAAGCTGGGAGAGGGGCCAGGGAGGGCTCGGCCTAAGTGGAGGTCTCCAGTCTCTTCTTGTCTCCCTCTTTCCAGCCCTCAGTCCCATCCCAGGAGACTTCCAGGACTCAGGTAAGGCAGGTGGGCTGGGAGAAAGTCACCTGCTGAGGTGGAAAAGATAAGGAGGGGTAGCATGAGTGCTGGCAGGGGGCTGCAGGGGCCAGGGTTGGGGAAGAGTAAAGTGCAGGGTTGGGACTGGGGGGTGGGTGGCGGGATTAGGGGGAGGGCAGGGCTGGCAATGCCGGGTCAGGACGTCAGCAGCATCTTCCTCTTTCACCCTCTGCCTCCCAGCTCTCATTCCAATCCAAGAAGTACCTGAAGATCTGGGTAAGGAAGGGGTTGGGGGGTCTTCAGACCTCAAAGGATTAAGGAACTAGGTGAAGAAGGTGGTGAAAACGACTGGAACTTAGAAGAATTCCTTTGTTCTTTGTTGGGGGCGGGGACAAACTGAAGTAGGTGGGGGGGGGGGGCTTGTCTTGAGTTACCTACACCTCTGCGTGGGGGATTGGAGCAAGCTCTGACCTCCATGATACCCTGCTGCAGACTGCGGACAGCCCGGGCCCTCTACCCGGATCATGGGTGGCTCAGACGCGCAGCCCGGCACCTGGCCGTGGCAAGTGAGTCTGCATTACAGGGGGAGCCACATATGCGGGGGCTCCCTCATCGCCCCCTCCTGGGTCCTCTCGGCTGCACACTGCTTCGTAGAGTGAGTATCCGCCCTTGTTCACCCCTCTCCTTCAAAGCCAAGCCCCCCAGGCAGCCTGAACCCCAAGTACTCAAGGGTAACTTGGAACCTAGTGCCCGCGATCTCTTGCCCTTCCCCCAAGTTAGGTGCTCAGAGGAGCTTCTGGTTCCGACGGTAGTGAGGCGCCAGCCAACCCGTCCCACCGCTCCATCAAGCATCCGAGTCAGGATTTCATCTTTCCCAATTCAGCCACCTCCGAAACGGCTCCTGTGCCCCCCTTTTAGGAGTCTAGCTCTACCTCTCCACCCTGCCCTGAATCAGGATCCGACTCCCCGCTGACCCCACCTTCTCCTCTGGCTTTGAGCCCCCACCCCCACCGGGGTGGGCGCTCCTAGGGCCATCCTGACCCCGTCCCGCCTCGGCCTCGGCGCAGGAACGGGACCATGGAGCCCTCGGCCGAGTGGTCGGTGCTGCTGGGCCTGCATTCCCGGAACGGGCCCCTGGAGCGCGTGCAAGTCCGCGCGGTGGCGGCCATCCTGGTGCCGGACAACTACAGCGACGTGGTGCTGGGCGCCGACCTGGCCCTGGTGCGCCTGGCCTCGCCCGCCAGCCTGGGCCTCGCCGTGCGGCCCGTCTGCCTGCCCCGCGCTTCGCACAGATTCGCTCACGGCAGGAGCTGCTGGGCCACCGGCTGGGGCTACGTGCAGGAGCAGGGTGAGCGCGGGGTGACCGCGCGGGGGACGCCTACGGGAGGGCCTCGGGGCGGGACCCGCGGGCGCGTCCTACCCGCGCGGCTCCGCCCACAGGCTGGGCCCCGGGGCGGGGCTTTAGGGGTGGCGCCCCGGGGCGGGGCCTGGAGGGCGGGTTTCTGCTCCGGCCCTGGGTCCTCATCGCCTTCCCACCCCGCCATTGCTCCTTTCCTCCAGATTGTTCTTTCCTGAATTTAGAACCGACTCGCGTTCCCATCCCAGCTGTGCTATTGAAACGCGGCACTTCTCTCAGTCTGTTCCTCTTCTAAAAATTGAGGAATATAACGCCTCCTCCACAGGGTGCATTAAATGAGAAAAATCCATGTGGAGTTGAGGACACAGCGCCGAACTTAGCAGAAGCTATTGCATTCTGGGTCCTTGGGCCCTAGGCGCTCCTGCCGTCAGCACAGCACCTGGCTTACGTGGGCATTCTGCCTCTCTGCCCTCTTTCCTCCAGCCCCTCTTCCTCCCATCCTATCTCCCCCTGCGCCTCCCAGCTCTACTCCCCCAACTCCTGTCTTCTACTACTTGCCTTCATTCATTCAGTCTGTCTTTCATTCACTCATTCAACAAATATTTCTGAGCACCGCCTTGTGCCAGCACTGTTAGGCATTAGAGATGCTAACAAACATAACAATCAAAACCTGCTGCCTTCTCAGAGCTTACATTCTAGTGGGTAGACTGACAAGTTTAATAAATAAACAAAACCTTATGTTAGAAGGTGTGGGGGGAAATAAGCCACTTTTCATTGTCCCTCACCCTCATTATCCTATGCTACATTTCCACATTAGCAAGGCCACAGCAGATTTCTAATCTGCTGTGATCAGAGCTGTGCAGTGCCAAGGGCTTTGGGAGGGTGCTCTAGAAGATGCCACAGCCTCCACCTCCAGGAGTACTGTCAGGGCAGGAGGTGACAAGGAAGGGTCATCCTGAGCACCTAGGAAGTCTGTGTGGATAGGGTCAGGCCATACTGATAATGAGCACTCAGAGCAGGAAATTTCTGGGGAGGTTTTAGGAATTTTGGCACTACAGGAAGGCAGGGGAAGAAGGAGACAGAGGCCATCCTGGGGACCCAGATGAAGCACAGTAGATGGAGCAGGGTGAGGCAGTCAGGCTGGAGAGGCAACAGAGGTTGCAAGGGCTGCTGGGGCTGAACCATGAAGGCATTAAGGTCACACAGAGGCTTGGAGCACACTACCAGCTCCAGGGATCCTCAAAACAATCCCCAAACTTCCCCTATTGACCCTAAAGTACAGCCTGTGAGGTCCCCTGACCTCTCAGGAGTCGGGCTGGGGAAGGAACATGATTACACTGCCCCCAGCCTACATACCTTCCTTTCTCCATCCTGACTGTGTTCCCATCAAAAGCAAGTTCACCCTAGGAAACAGCTGAGGTCCCAGGTTTAGACAGTGGAATCCATTGATTGTTCTTAGATTAGAAAGAGCTGAGCTTTAAAAACATTCCCCTGGCAGCATCCAGTGGAGACTGGGTTGGGAAACAGACCAGCGAGGAGGCTGGGCCAATCTTCCAGGCCCAAGTTTATGGCTCCTGACCTGGAATAGTGGCAATGAAAAAGCCAAGAAGTCACAAATGAGAAGCTTCCTTCCCTAAGCTTTTTCCAAGGTGTTGCTGAACATAAAATTCTATATACAAAGTGGCCTGGACCTGCTGCCTCAAAACATTATCTTTTCTTTCCAGTGTTTTGAGAAGTCATCCCTGGGGAACAGTGGGCTCCAGACCGGCTTCAGAGCATTTGCTGTCTTCCACAGATCCCCTGCCCCTCCCCTGGGTGCTACAGGAAGTGGAGCTAAAGCTGCTGGGAAAGGCCGCCTGTCAGTGTCTCTATAGCCGGCCTGGCCCCTTCAACCTCACTTTCCAGCTATTTCCAGGGATGTTGTGTGCTGGCTACCCCAAGGGTCGCAAGGACACTTGCCAGGTGAGAGAAGAGGCTCCTCCACCTGCCTGACAGGACCAGACAGAGTGCTGAGCTATAGGAAACAATGTGAAGAATAGACAGATCCCATGTCTCCTATATGTCTGAACCTCATCTGCAAAGAGAAGGCAAGATTGCAAATGGATAGGATTGGTATGAAGATTATAAATGAACAGAACTTGGGGCTCAACAGATTCTGGAGTGAGTCAGCAAGGTTAGAAGCCCAGTACTGGCGCCTCCCTGGTGGGGCAGGGGTTAAAGACACAGCGCTATCAAGCTAGCTCCAGCCACTGCAGCATGAGTTCGATCCTCAGCCAGGGAGCTACCCACATGGTGCAGCAGACCTGCCCTGGCTCGCCTGCTGCTCCCTCAGTAGTGTATTTCAGTCAGTCTGCCTGTTCTGTTCCCCACTCTGTCTCTGGTGAATCCTCTCACCCCCTGCACTCGGCCTACACCCCAGTTCTTGTATGCATAAATAAAAATAAATCTTAAAAAAATGAATTAGTGTAACAGAGTTCCTATGATATGAGACATCAAGAGGCCATTTTGTGCTCTGTCACTGTGATGTCATCAGATTCTGAATCAGAGTGTTCCTCAGGAAATTCAGTGGGGTCTGAAGTTAGCTTAGCTGCTTGATGAGCTAGAGCAGGTGTAGTCCCACATGCTCTCTGACAGGGTCCCCAGAAGCCTAAATTAAGTCCTTGTCACTTTGTGCACAGGACTCCAACAATGGATGAATTCTTCATTGGGTCCCCCAAGTGCTGCTCCAAGGTCACCTCCACACCATCAATCACCTGCCCCTGCTCAGGACCCCACAGCATGCCCCATCCTTCCTTACCACCTAGGTTGTCCATTTCTAACAGCCTCTTCCTCCTGAATGCTGGCCCTTCATGAAAAACCTGCATGATGTGTACAGCTTGGCACTCTTGGCTTTAGCTGCTGATCAGCCTTTGTACTTTATAAGACTTTCTTCTATTTAGAGTTGCAGGGAATACAGAGGACGAGGCAGGGTTCTTGGAAAAGAACCCTGTTGGGCCAAGAAGAGAAGTTGTAGAATCTGTGAAGTGGCTAAGTAAAACTTGGTGGGTCCCCAGGTTGACCTCTTGACACTGAGTTATCTCTCACCAGGGAGACTCTGGGGGGCCCCTGGTCTGTAAGGAAGATGGCCGATGGTACCAGGCAGGAATCACCAGCTTTGGCTTCGGCTGTGGACGGAGGAACCGACCTGGAATCTTCACTGCGGTGGCTTCCTATGAGGCATGGATCCGAGAACAGGTGATGGGTTCAAAGCCTGGGCCTGCCTTTCCCATCCAGTCCCCTGAGGCCCAGTCAGGCCCCCAGGAGCATGAGGATGAGAACTGCACCTTCGCCCTGCCAGGTGAGGGGCGGGGCGCCTGAACAAGAGCTAAACATGGGTGATTTGAGTTGGAATGGAAACTACCAGGGTTCAGGTGCCCTGACCCAAACCTCTCATCCCTCAGAGTGTGGGAAGGCCCCACAGCCAGGGCTCTGGCCCTGGGAAGCCCGGGTGATGGTGCCAGGATCCAGAACCTGCTATGGGGCCCTGGTGTCTGAAAGCTGGGTCTTGGCGCCGGCCAGCTGCTTTCCTGAGTGAGTGAAAACCTGTCTCAGGCACTCCCTGAGACACTACCTGGCTGAGCAGTTCCCTTGGTGGGGTAGTGGGCAGGGAAGGGGTTGGGGTGGGAGGGATGACAACTCAGGCTGGAACACTGGATCCCACTGGGAGGTGTAGGATTCAGCTCACAAAGTGGGGTCCTAGTTTACGGGAGCCAGTAACCGGGTAGTATACATTCCATCCCGAATGCAGGGATCTGGGCGCACAGTTCTCAGACGGGGGACTCAGGATCCTAGCCTAGAGATCGGGAATCTAAGCCGGGGGTGTGAGGTTTCCAGTGGAGGGTGTGGGATCCAGCCCACGTGCCCAGCCTCCTCCTCCCGCAGCCCGGTCAGCGCGGACGGCCGGCCCCGAGACCTGGACGAGTGGCGCGTGCTGCTGCCTTCGCGCCCGCGCGCGGAGCAGGTGGCGCGCTTGGTGCGGCACAAGAACTCCTCGTGGGACGACGCCTCGGACCTGGCGCTGCTGCAGCTGCGCGCGCCCGTGGACCTGAGCGCGGCCCCGCGACCAGTGTGCCTGCCCTACCAGGAACACTATTTCCTGCCCGGGAGCCGCTGCCGCCTGGCTCGCTGGGGCCGCGGAGGTGAGCGGGGCCCGGGGGCGGCGCGGCGCGGCGTGGGGCTGATCGCGCCACAGCGCTGGCTCGCGCCTTTTCCGGCTCAGGACCGGCGCCCGGCCCCAACACGATGCTCGAGGCGGAGCTGTTGGACGGCTGGTGGTGTCACTGCCTGCACGGCGACCAGGGCGCGCCGGTGCCGCGGCCGGGAGACCCTCCGCGGGCGCTCTGCCCCGCCTACCAGGAGGAGGAGGCGGGCGGCTGCTGGGTGAGCGGGGGGCGGGGCTGAGCGGCGGGGCGGGGCTGAGCTGAGCCGTGGGGGCGGGGCGGGGCTGAGCGGCGGGGGCGGGCGGGGCTGCGAGGTGGGGGCGGGGCGGGGCGGGGCGGGGCGGGGCCCGAGAGGCTGGGCACTGAGTGGGCGCTCCGGGGCGCTGCTCTGGGTAGGAGGGGTGGAGGACGGGCCCTGGCCCAGGGGGAACTCTTGGGAGGTACTGAGGTGGGCCCTGCGCCATGTTGGGCCTTCGCGCTACCCCTAGATTTAAAAAAAATCCTAGGCCTGATTTCTTAAACAGATTAGGACTGGAGTCTGGCTTGGAGGAGGTGGGGCCTGTTTTGTCCCCGGACTGGAGCGGGTGGAGTCCGGGAAAGCCCAGGTCCTTTGTTATACTCTCACCAACTGGTACACACACTCTCTTGCTGCAGAACAACTCGCGCTGGAGCCTTCTGTGCCGGGAGGAGGGGACCTGGTTCCTAGCTGGAATCAGCGATTCTTCCAGTGGCTGCCTACGCCCCAGGGCCTTCTCCCCCCTGCAAACCCACGGCCTGTGGATCAGCCATGTGACTCGGGGAGCATACCTAGAGGACCAGCTGGCCTGGGACTGGGGTCCTGAGTGGGAGAAGATTGAAACACAGACTTGTCCCCCCCCCACAGAGCAGGGTGGTGAGGAGGGGGCTCTTGGAACTTAGTTCCTGGGAGTGTTTAGATCCATGATAGGGGCTTCAGGGGCCAGCTGTGGGGCCCCCACTGAGGTGGTCACCTGCTCTCCCTAGCCTGTGGCCTGAGGCCAGAGCCTGCTCCCGTGGGGGTCCTGTGGCCCTGGCTGGCAGAGGTGCATGTGGCTGGTGATCGAGTCTGCACTGGGATCCTCGTGGCCCCAGCCTGGGTCCTGGCAGCCACTCACTGTGTCCTCAGGTGGGTCTCACCCATCTCCTGGCCAAGAAAGAACTGAGAGATGGGTCAAAGGACTCTTAACAATAGTAGGATACTCTTCCTTTAGGCATTTACAGTACAGGGAAACCACTAGGCAGTGTTTTGAGGAAGTGAGATTTGGAAGAGGGAATAATGAAGGGGTTAGTGGAATGACCCTGGAGATTCATTACACCTTTGCCCCTGGGTTGGGAAGGACATTACCAGCCACGGGCTCACAGGAACATGACCTTGGGCCTTGTTCCCACAGGCTGGGCTCTACAGCAATACCTTATATTGAAGTGTACCTGGGCCGGGCAGGGGCCAGCCCCCTCCCACAGGGCCACCAGGTATCACGGTCAGTCGTCAACATTCGCCTGCCCCGACACCGGGGATTTCAGCCCCCCCTGGTTCTCCTGGAGCTTAGCTCTCGGGTGGAGCCCTCCCCATCAGCCTTGCCAATCTGTCTTCACCCAGGGGGTATCCCCCCGGAGACCAGCTGCTGGGTGCTGAGCTGGAAGAACCCCCATGACCGAGGTGAGAGCTCTGCGTCCTGGGCATGAGACATGTCTGAAGGTCAGAATCCCTGGGATAATCATCTTTCCTCTCTCTAGTCCCGGTGGCTGCTGCTGTCTCCATATTGACACCACAACTCTGTCACTGCCTCTATCAGGGCATTACACCCCCTGGGACTCTCTGTGTCCTGTATGCAGAGGGGCAGGAGGACAGATGTGAGGTACAAGTGCCTGGGCATCCTGGTTCAGGGAGGGGAGAGGCAGTGCTAGGTAGATGGACCCTAGAGAGAGCAGGGTTGGAATTCTTGGATGCTAGACCCCAAATGGGAAGAAGGTCCTGGCCAGACCTTGGAGTGAGACCAAGGGGCCAGGATGCTACAGATATAGTAGTGCTTTGTGGTTGGATCCTAGGAGAAGGTGCAGGGGACAAGAAGAGGGGTAACAGACCCTTTTGGCCTTGGCTCTTGACTCTGCAGGTGACCTCAGCACCTCCCCTCCTGTGCCAGACTAGTGGGGGCTCCTGGGCCCTCATGGGCATGGCTGTTCGAGGGAGCCAAGAGCTGTTTGCCGCCATTGGCCCTGAAGAGGCCTGGATCTCCCAGACAGTGGGGGAGGCCCATTTCCTGCCCCACAGTGACTTCTCCCACTGGTCCCCTGAAGGCAGCGACCTCTGCCCCCCGGACCTGGCAAGAGCCTCCTCAGGCTCCCCACAGGTTGCTCTGTTCCTGCTGCTTCTGACTCCCCTGATCCTGTACTGAGGATTTACCCTCTTCTCCTCCTCCAGTCCTCCACTTCCCGCCCAGTGGAGTTGGAATGTGGCCCAACCGGCTCTCTCCTTCCGTGCTGGAACCTGGAGAGCACTCCACCCACTTAGAAGGCAGCCGCTTTGGGTAATTGGGCCTCTGGGCCCTACTATTCTGGGCCCTGGAATCCTTGGGGGCAGCGAGAGGAACAGACAATAAATGGTAAACACAGACACGTGGCCTTGTGGCAATGCTGGGGGCAGGCTGCGGGGCTGAGGGGAAGTCCAAGGGGCAGGGCTCCTCCCCCTTAGGCCTGGTGAGTCAGGCCTCGGACTCCCAGGAAATGTGTCCCTGATAACGTGGCAGTTGTCCCTCATACCTGCCCCAGGGCGGGGGAGGCTGGGCAGCCAGCTGGGTGTGTGTCACCTCCCCCGTGCATCAGCACCCCTGCACCTGCTCTCACCTCAGGCCTAGTGTGGACCCTGCTGCCCTTCCCCAGGAGCAGAAAGGACTGAGGGTGAGGGTAGGAGGAAAGGTCCCAGAGGCTTTGGGAGTCTAGGGTCTGTCTACTATGTCCTGAACCCACAGAGAACCGCCCCTCATCTGCAGACCCTGATGAACAATGCCCCAAAGTGTATATAGCTCCTGCACCCCCAGCAGATGCACGACCTTGTGTCCTTCAAGGGTCTACCACTTTCGGATTCTGCCTGGGTATCCCAGGGTTTAGGCCCATCATGTGTTCCCATCACACATCCCTCATTTGTACATCCCACTACCTCCCCCAGCACCCACAAGCATACCTCCCTGCATTAATGGAAGCACTCGTCCTGCTGCCTACTAAGTCACTAAGTCACACTCGGCGGGGATCAGATAGATAAGCCGGAGAGAGGCTCCCAACTTAGGGGGAACACCTAAGGACACCTCTGGCTGGGGGTCAGGAAAGGGTCATGGAGGAAGTGATAAGTTTGAGTACATAAAAAGGGCAAATGGGGTGCTTGGAGCAGAAGCCTACTGATGAGGGTGGCAGAGAGGTCATCTTTGGGGGTGGAGTCAGAATTCTGGGTTGACTAGGTGGAAAATGGGGAAGGGGAGTGCTGGGGGAAGCTGGACGTTCACTTTGGGAGATTATAGAGATGGACAGAGGCCCTGACGGGGCCAGACTTCTCTTCCCAAATAGAATATTCCTCAAGTTCCCCAGGGACAGACAACTTCCCAAACCCCATCAGTCACACAAACGCCATCTCCCACATGAATTTAATATTAACCTATCCACCTGAACCCACCCACACTGTCCTGTCTTGCCCCCTTCTCCCCAGCCTAGACCCCTCCTGAGGCAGCTTCCAGACCCTCATGCACTCCAGGAATTCCCTGTCCTCCAGCTGGCGTGGTGGAATCCTGCCTCAGAGGTCCAGACACCTGATCTTTTTTTTTCTTTTAAAGATTTATGTATTTTTGTACAAGAGCTGGGGTACAGGCCAGAGGCGCAGGAGGGTGAGAGGATTCACCAGAGTCAGAGCAGGGAGCAGAATGGGCAGAAGGACTGAAGACACTGCTGAGGGGAGCAGTGGGCGGCAGGAGAGGTCTGTGCACCATGTGGGTAGCTCCCTGGCTGGCCAAGAATCGAACCCACGCTGCAGAGGCTGTGGACAGCTTCACAGCGCTGTGCTCAATCCGCTGCACCACCAGGGAGGTCCCAGACACCTAATCTTAGGCAGATAAATGGGGAAGTGGGGCTCTGTAGTTCTGAATCTTGAAGTCAACATGAATTCCAGTTGCCCACAGATTCACACAGAGAATGCACCTGACCCCCAGCTGCAACATGGGCCTCTTTCCCCGACCTGAGAACCTTGTGCCTAGACCACCCTTTCCCTGTGTTCACCCCTTTTCAAAACTCCTTTGCGTCTCATTTCTAAAGGCACTTCCTTGGGGCCTCCCTGGTGGCGCAAGGGGTTAAACACAGCACTATGAAGCTATCCTCAGCCACTGCAACGCGAGTTCTATCCCTGGCCAGGGAGTTAACCCACATGGCCCACATGGCACAGCAGACCTCTCCTGTCTCGCCCACTGCTCCCCTCAGCAATGTATTTCAGTACATCTGCCTGTTCTGTTCCCCGCTCTGTCTCTGGTGAATCCTCTCACATCCTGCATCTCTGACCTGCACCCCAGCTCTTGTATGCATAAATAAATACATCTTTTTAAAAAATAATAAAATAAAATAAAGGCACTTCCTTGAGGAGCTCTCATGATGCCAGCCTACGTCAAGTTCCTGTGAACAGGCTCCCATTCTTGCCATCGTGGTCACTCAGGGAAGGCGGGGCCCATGTCTATTTTGTGTCCGTGCCTGGAACACAGTAGGCACTCAGTAAATATTTGTGGCATGATTGACACTGCTACTCATCAAAACTCATGCAGATGAGGCAGCAGGCTCTACAGAGGGGCCTGAAACGGGGAGGACCCCAGTGTTGGGGATCAGATACAGCCTGTCCTTAGGCGGAGGGAGGAGCAAAGGTGGCCTGTGATCTTAAGACTCGGCTAGGCCCGGGGGCATAACTGGCCTGGGAGACCTGGTAAACCTGGTCAAAGGCAGCTGGGTGGCCCTTCTGGGAGTTGTTTTCCCAGCCCTGCCTGGGGCTGCTGGGGGTGGGGGCTCCTTCCCCACTCCCCACTCATCACCTGGGGCTTGGGGAGGACTCAGGACTTCAGTGGCTGCCGGAGAAGCTAGCCGAGCTGAGCAGTCTGGGGCGGGGCCAGGGAAGGGGCGGGCAGGTAGGTAGGTTTCCTGCCCGGGAAGCTCTCGTCTAGCCAGCCGGCTGTGCTGGAGAAGAGACCGCGCTGCAGTGGCTCCCCTGGTGCCCACCCCCTGCCTTCGAAAGCAGCCTTGGACATCTGCTCCCTGTTTCAGCGAGGACTCCAGGATCCCTTTCCTCTGGCCCCGACACCTGGATCTCAACTTTGAAACCAGCCCTAGGTCCCTTCCTTTGGGTGCCTGATATCGCCCATAGGGACCCTCGTCCTGGGCCATGGCCCAGAGAGTGGGTCTGAGGCTTGGGCGACAGGAGGCCATGGCCATTCTGCTTTTGCTTGGATTATTCCAGTCCTGCATGGGTGAGTTGTGCTGGCCAGGTGCGCCATGTGGGGGGAGGGGGAGGGGGCGAGAAGAAAGGCGCGGTAGGGGGTGGGGAAAGGGCGGTAGATGCACAGGGGGCCAGGGTGTAACCCTGTTCTGGGAAACATCTCTCTTATCCTGGGGTCCAGAACCCCCAGCTTCAGCCTTCTAGCTCTGGGCCGCTCCCTGTTTCGTCAGGGTTGGCCTCGGAGGGAGGGGACAGTCCTCCAAGAAAGGACAGGTGCTGAGGAGTCTGGGAACTTTGGTTTTCCCAGCTTACCCCTCCCTTTCTCTTTTTTTTTTCCAGGAGCTGATGGGGCCGAAGGTGAGGCTGATCAGAAGAAAATGAGGGAGGGAAGGAGAAAGACTTAGATTCAGATTCCTGTGGTGCTTACGGAGCCTGCTGGTCTCCCATGTTGTCTAAGTAGCTCTCTGACAGGAATATTAGAGCACTTGTTTCATGCATAAAGAAGCTGAGATGCGGAGAAGTGACTTGCCACACAGCCAGTAAGTGGGAAAGCTATGATTGAAACCCAGGACTGACCTCAAAGGTGAGTCATTTAGAGGGACACAAACCTGAGGGGTCCTTTCTAAGAAGGCACACACCGACCCTGAGAGGTTTTCTCTCAGTCCTCGCTTCCCCACTTACCGGCTGTGTGTCAGATGCTAAAATGAAGTTGATTATGTCTCTCCTGGAGCAGTGTGAGGATCCCAGGAGATAATGAGAAAGCCCCTTCAGGGCCTGGCACTGCCTAACACTCACAGAATAGTAGCATTGTCATTATTATAAGCAGGGCACGAGGGCCTGGCTGGGCAGTTTTCTCTGCTCCCGAGGAGACTATGTGAAGGGCAGCTGTGTCTGGCTCTTAACTGAGGCACCTCAATGTGGGTGGGACGTCCTGGAAACTAGATTGTCATACTGTTCACACAGCAAAACTGTTCTGCCCATTTGTTCCACACACATCCATGACTTCATCTGTGTGCCCACTCCGGTGCTGGGCACTAAGGAAAGAACTCCCAGGTGGTTGCTGTTGAAGCAGCCAGTCATAGACACAAGAACAATTGTGTGACTGGACAGTTTTGGGGAGGGAGGGGTAGAGGGGTAGGGGGAAGCCTGCAAGCTCCAAGCTGTTCCTAACTCAGCCAGCAGGGTCAGCGGGCTCAGTAAGGAGGGGCTGACTTTGGATAGTCTCCGTAGGCAAACAGAAGTCCGCTGAGACAGACCTGAATAAAGGTCTAAAGGCGGACAAGTATGTTGTGGCAGAAAGTTCCAGAGGGAAGACAGGACTAGATGGCACTGTCATGGGAGGTTCTGGAATGTGTCTTAAGACAGCATGGAGGGAGGGCCTCCCCGGTGGCGCAGCGGTTGAGCGCTGGGTTGCGAAGCTGCCCGCGGCCTCTGGCGGCGCCAGTTCAATCCCCGGCTGCTCCCGGCCACCGGAGGAGGGTCCCACATGGCGTGCAGACCTCTCCTGCCGCCCGCTGCTCCCCTCAGCAGTGTACTTCAGTCCTTCTGCCTGCTCTGCTCCCCGCTCTGGCTCTGGTGAATTCTCTCACCCTCCGCGCTTCTGACTGTACCCAGTGCTTGTATAAACAAACAAACAAATAAACAAATAAATAAATAAACATGCCTCTATAAAAAAAAAAAAAAAAAAAAGACAGCATGGAGGGGGCCTCCCCGGTGGTGCAGCAGTTGAGCAGTGGGTTGGCCGCAGCCTCTGGCAGCGCCAGTTCAATCCCCGACTGCGACTGCGACTGCCGGGCGAGGGTCCCACATGGCGCGCAAACCTCTCCTGCCGCCCGCTGCTCCCCTCAGCGGTGTACTTCGGTCCTTCTGCCTGCTCTGCTCCCCGCTCTGGCTCTGGTGAATTCTCTCACCCTCCCGCGCTTCTGACTGTACCCAGCGCTTGTATAAATAAATAAATAAATCTTTAAAAAAAGAAAAAAAAAAAAGTCAGCATGGAGGGCCTCCCTGGTGGCGCAGCAGTTGAGCGCTGGGTTGGGAAGCTGCCCGCAGCCTCTGCAGCGCCGCCTCTGCAGCGCCGCTGGTTCAATATCCAGCCACCAGGTGAGGGTCCCACATGGCGCGCAGACCTCTCCTGCCGCCCGCTGCTCCCCTCAGCAGTGTACTTTGGTCCTTCTGCCTGTTCTGCTCCCTGCTCTGACTCTGGTGAATTCTCTCACCCTCCCACTCTTCTGACTGTACCCAGTGCTTGTATAAATAAATAAATCTTAACAACAACAAAAAAAAAGACAGCATGGAGCCAGGGAAGAATTTTAGCTGGGGTACGACACGTAGCCAGATTTGTGGTTTATAAAGAACTTTACACTTGTAAGGAATGGGTTGGATGGGAGGCAGAATTCCTGAGAAAAAGGAAGCTGGATGGGACCGGAAGTAGGTCGAGGATGACAAGGGGCAGAACTGACCACTGATGAGCAGTGGAATGGAGGGGTGGCCGGCTCTGTGAACTCACTTCCTGAGTTCCAAACCTGACCACCTGGCCTATATCGGGAGTGGCAGGGCTAGGGAACTGGGGTGGGGGCCCTAGAAGTGCCTGACCCCACGCCTTCCTTCTCCAGCAGCCATCTGCGGCGTGGTCTCGCAAGCCCGAATCACAGGTGGCAGCAGCGCAGTCCCCGGCCAGTGGCCCTGGCAGGTCAGCATCACCTACGACGGCACCCATGTGTGCGGCGGCTCTCTCGCGTCTGAGCAGTGGGTGCTGTCAGCAGCTCACTGCTTCCCCAGGTACTAGCTGGGGGGGGTGGGGGGAGCGGAGTCAAAAGTGGGCTGGATGTCTAAGTTCAATGTTGTCAGAGGTTAGGGTATTTGGGTGCTCTAGGGGTACTGATAGTCCAAAAGGATCAGTCAAGAGTGTGGGTCAGAGGTCACAGGTCACAATGTAAAACTAGGGCTACAGTTTGGGGCCTAAATGGCCCTCTACCTGGGACCAGAATCAGGTTGAATGCCACAAGGCAACAGGCATCCAGGAACTAGGAAAGGACTCCTGGTCCCAGACTTTGTTCCTCTGCCTGCAGGGAGCACTACAGGGATGGCTATGAGGTCAAACTGGGGGCCCACCAGCTGAGTTCCCACAGCTTTGACACCGAGGTCCGCACCGTGGATCGGGTCATCCTGCACCACAGCTACCAAGAGGAGGGCTCCCAGGGTGATATCGCGCTCCTCCATCTCAGCAAGCCCGTCACCTTCTCCCGCTACATCCGGCCCATCTGCCTCCCTGCCGCCAATGCCTCCTTCCCCAACGGCCTCATGTGTACTGTCACTGGATGGGGCCACGTGGCCCCCTCAGGTGAGGTGGGCTCTAGTCTAGAGGTGCAGAGGGGAGCTATCTTCGGGGAGGATGCCCTGGATAAGCATCTTTTGCCCCCACAGTGAGCCTCGAGCCTCCCAAGCCACTACAGCAACTCCAGGTACCGCTGATCAGCCGGGAGACGTGTAACTGTCTGTACAACATCAATGCAAAGCCCGAGGAGCCCCACACTATCCAGCAGGACATGGTGTGTGCTGGCTATGTGAAGGGGGGCAAGGATGCCTGCCAGGTAAATGCGGGGGCTCCAGGGTGAACAGATGAGGCAAGTGTATTTTGAGGGAGGGGGGCTGGGTGGGGCCAGTGTGAACAACTCAAGGCCTGGGGTCTGGTTTTAACCGCTGTTGTGTGACTTTTCTCCTCAGGGGGATTCTGGGGGCCCACTCTCCTGCTTTGTGGAGGGCCACTGGTACCTAGCAGGCATTGTGAGCTGGGGTGATGCTTGTGGGGCCCCCAACAGGCCAGGTGTATACACTATGACCTCTAGCTATGCCTCCTGGATTCACCATCATGCAGCAGAGCTCCAGCCTCGTGTGGTGCCCCAAATCCAGCCGTCCCAGCCTGATGACCACCTCTGCAAGAGCTCTCCACCCTTCAACTCTGCCTCAGGCCAGCGCCTGGGAGGGCCCATTATTCTGCTGCCATTAGTTCTGAGCCTGGGCCTCCTCCCGCTGTGGCACAGGCACTGAGCAACTGCCCCTGGGAGATGACCCTGCTGCCGGGACTTCCACTTACACTCAAGGACAGGCCACCATCCCCAGGAACAGATCTGGTACTCTTTGGGCCTTCCTCCCAGGGCCCTGTGGGATTCCAGCGTGCCACCCTGACCCACTCTTTGGACGACAACCCAGCCAGGAGTCTGTCTGCCTGTGGGATCGGTGAGGACTTCTGCCGCCCCCACCTGCTGGCCACGAGCCTATTGGTTGGGCTCCTATGGAGCCCCTGAAGGATCCTTAGCTATGAAATTGGGTGCGGCTCCCAGCCTGTTTCTAGAAGATTGGGCTGCTGATTGCTGCTTGAAAGGCTGGCTCCAGCACCCCCGCCTGCAGTGCCCAATGAGCCCCTTCACTTTACCTTCTTGACTTCTGGCCTTGGGCTGCCTCTGGGCAGCTGTCTTCAGGCACAGGAGGCCCCAGTCTTGCCCCCTGGGCTGCCAGGCCCCCTTGAGCCCTGACTCCCAGACTCCGGAGGACTGAGCCCCCACCGGAACTGGGCTTGGACTTGGATCTGGGGTGGGGGCAGAAGGAGCAAGGAGTAAAATGTTTTGAGCACCACTGGCTCTGTGTGTGACGTGAGATGAAGAACATCAGCTGTCGGCGCCTCCCTCCCACCTCCAAAGTCCGGAGCCACCGACAGAACTGACTTTATTAAAAAAACGACGGAACACGTCTGTACATATTTACAGGCGGGGGCAAGGAGGCGCGGGTCCAGCGGCAGGCGCACAGGCCACTCACTTCTTGGAGAGTTTGGCTTGCTTGTGCTTGGGGGGTGCCCACTTGAGGCAGACAGAGTCCACTGTGGAAAGAAGAGGCATGATAGGCTGGGCTGGGCCCAGGCCAGGTTTCACCTCTAGGTGAGAACAAGGGCAGACTGAGTGTGGGGAGGGGGCAGGGAAGCCCAGGAATGAGTAGCCTGCCCCAGGCTTCAGTCCCGGGAGCTGGAAGCTGGTCAGACTGGTTTGGGATCATGTGACAGAAACAGGTGGACTTGGCTCCCAGTGTCCTTATACCTACCCCCCACCACCACCACACAAATTCCCTGGGCAGCCCCCCACCCACCTGTTATGGGTGGTTTCTTATACTGGGCACTTTTGAGGTGCTCCTCTACCAGCTTGGGTGTGACACAGATCACGTGCTGGCCTTTCCAGTACTTGACCATGTTGAGGGACTGTAGGGTGCTGATGATGTCATTCTGGGTGATGCTGGTCATCTGGCTGCAGAAAGGGATTTAGAGCAGATGCTGTAGAGTTTCCTTGTGGGCTTTGGCTGGGGCAGCAAAAGGGGACAAGGAGGCAGGGTAATGGCCAAGCTGAGAAGAGGCCTTTCCTCTGAGGGTTCCAAGAAGCCTCCCCAACATGGACAGCATGCTTGGGACAGGGGTGGGGACCAGGGCCCTCACCTGAGGTCCTTGATGGACAGCGTGCCCCGGAAGTCTCGCAGGATCTCCAGCAAGACCCAAGACCAGTAGCTACGGTAGCTGAGTTTGCCCAGGTCAGACAACGGCTTCTCTGGGGAGCCCACTGTGCTCTCAAGCTTGGACAGCTCATAACCTGGCAGCGTGAGAAATGAGAATCCTTGGGACGCAGCTCCCTAACACAGTCACCCAACTCAGGTGTCCCATCCTGGACAGGCCAGGAGTCACTCACTGAAAGCAATGAGGAACTTTCCATAGCCACGGCGCTGGTAGGGGGGCAGGGTCAGAATGCAGGCCACATTGTTCCCATCTGGAGATTCCTTCTCCTGGAGGGGTGGATGGTCAGGACCTCTGGGGAGACTCGGCCCCTACCCAGTTCATACTCCCCGCCCTCCCTCAACCTGAGTGTCCTGACCCGGCACCTTGGAGAAGTAGCCGACGATGTGGGCCCCCTGCCTGTCCACCTCTGTCAAGATGTAAAAGACGAAGGGCTCCACGTCAAAGTACAATGTCTTGTGGTCCAGGAAAAGCTTGGCCAGCAGGCACAGGTTCTGACAGTAAATCTGAGGGGTGGGGAGGTGGAGGGAGACTCAGAAACAGGTACAACTCCCCCTTTTAGCCCCAAGGGGGCCTGGGCAGGAGCTGCCATCCTGCTCTGCAAGGGCCAGGCTCTAGAGAGCAGCCAGTGCCAGGCGGTGAGGAACAGGCTCCTTGCCAGAGAATGGTGTTTAAAACCAGGAAGGGTCTTAGAGTCATTTTCTGGCGGATAAGGAAATGAGAAAGAAGCAGAGGGGGGCTCATCATGGCACCCACATCCTGGTGCTGAATGTGAGTTCGGCCTTCACAGACATTAACTCATGTTTCAGGTCAGGAAAGTGAGGCTCAGAGACAAGTCTCTAGCCAGTTGGCGAGTGCCAGGGAGAGTGCATACCACTAAGTGCACGTAGCCTTGTGAAGAGCTGTGTCCCCTGCGCCCAGCACAAGCTGAGCACAATGCAGGGGCTGGGAAATGTTTGCTGAGAGCGTGAGCCTCCAGTCTGACTCCAAAGCCTGAGCTGTCTGTCCGCTCAGCCTCACTCCTCTGTGGTGCTGGCCTCTGACACCCATGCAGGCCAGAGACCAAAGTCAGGAGGGATGAGGGTACCTTGAAGTCAGCTCCCTGGCACAAATCAGGGAGTCCTGAAGTTTCCACACCTTTTACACCCTCTCACTTGACCCAGCAACTGTGAGAGCCCAACATTGCTAGTCCCATCTTCAGGGGAGACCAAGCCTCGAGAGGGGAGGTACTGGCCCGGGGCCTCAGAGCCGGAGAGCAGGAAAGAATACCCGTCTCCTGCTGGAGACTTTCTGCCACTCCCTGTCTGTGCTCAGGAAGGCAAAGCAGAGGACTTGCACCAGGCTAAGAGCCCCAGTCCCCAGACGATTTATCACAAGACTAATAGTCCCAATAATGACAAAAGCCTATGTTTACTAAGCACCTAGTCAATGCCAGGCACTGTGTTAACCGCGCAGCACTGCCGTCTTACTGACAACTGTGTTGGATAAACATCATCATGTCCTCTCATCATGACTCCTGTCTCAGAGATGAGGAACCAGGAACAGTGTTAAGTAACTTGTCCAAGGACAATGAGAAAATGGTGGGTGATTGAAGCAAGGAGCCACAGGGGAGCCTGCCCTATTCATCTTCCACTCGGCTGCTCTTCCATGGGAAAGGGTGAGACCCTTCCAGACTGCCCAGGGAAAGGCAGCTTCTCAATGACAGCAAAGCAGGTCCCCGAGCCCCACCCTGCCCCACTGAAGTCTTCCTGCAGAACAAGGAACTCGGCCACGCTCTCCCCAGGAGTCTTACACAAAGCGGTTAGTTCCCTCCCAGGCACACACACCTCCAGGCAGAAAGAGAAAGGGCTTCCAGAGCAACCTGAGGCATGACAATCTCCACACTCTGGGCTCCAGAACTCCCCAAACCTAAGCTATCCTATGGGAGGGAAGTCCTCAAGGACAGAACAGAAATGGGCGAGGCTGGCAAGACAGGACAGTGTGTTTACTATGCACCAACCCTGAGCCAACTGCCAGCTGAACACCATCCTCAGGCCTTTTCCAGGGAGACAGTCATCCCACCCTTGGTGATGGTGAGGACGTCCAGGAGGTACCCAAAGCTCCCCCCCCACTCTCCACAGTGCCTTAGCTCACCTTGTGGTCCTTGCCATCTACCTCGTACACAGAGATATTGCTTTTTCGATAGATCTCCTTCCCTGGGGGCTGCCGCCACTGGCACTGGCCCTGGGAGAAGGGGAGACACAGGCTTGAGACCCAGGGTTCTCTGTGCAGTGCCTCCCTCCCACCCTGTGTGGTCTACACCACGTCTCTGCTCTCAGTTTCCCCATTTGCAGACTCTGAGCTCAACACATCACTGACATGGAGCAATGGCTCCCAACAACCTGAGGAGACGGATGTCATTCACAGATGAAGAAGGCGGACAGAGGCTAAGCAACTGGCTTCAACATCACACAGTTGGGGCCTCCCTGATCATGAAGGGGTTAAAGACAGCGCTACCAAGCTAATGTCAGCCACTGCAGCATGAGTTTAATCCCTGGCCAGGGAGCTACCCACATGGTGCAGCAGACCTCTCCTTGTCTCACCCGCTGCTCTCCTCAGCAGTGTATTTCAGTCAATCTGCCTGTTCTGTTCCCCACTGTCTCTGGTGAATCCTCTGCCTGTACCCCAGTTCTCATATGCATAAATAAATAAATCTTTAAAAAAAAAAAATCACACAGTTAAGTCAAGTCCAGGTCAGCCTGGCTCTAGAGGCCTCTGGAGGCCTCATCCGGGACAAGGGCATCTCCCACATGCACACCAGTTCCCCACAGCCCACCTCTGGGAAACACCGTGCTGCACTAGTGATGAGAGCCCCCACCGGACAGCGCCCGGGTACTGTTCTTTCATCTGTCTCCACCTATGGCCCTACCGCTCAGGGCTGTGCTTACTCCCTCCTTTGCACCAAGAAGCCAGCACCAAGCTGCCCTAACACATGGTAAAGGGCAAGGGACTCAAAAAGGGGTAAGGGCTGGGATGACTGGCCCCATTCCACAGAAAAGGAAAATGAAGTCCAGGGCAGAGCTGGCCCAGGTGGCTGCAGCAAAGGCCAAGCCAGGCCCAGAATCCAAGTTTCTGGAGCCCAGGGCAGCTTTTCTGTGTCCTCAATTCCTCTGGTCTTTTCCCTTAGCTGCTGCCTCCGCTGGGTACCCCCAGCCTTGATGGCCGCCCCTCCCACCCAGCCGGCCAGGCCCAGCCTCACCAAATGGAAGCGGTAGCTCTTCTCGTATTTCATGTACTTGAGACAGTACTCGCAGAGCCAGAGCTTGGGCTGTTTTCCATAGTCTTCGGGGAACGGGGAGAAGTACCAGGCATCGATTTCATAGTTCCCGATGTGGATCTTGTCCACATACTTCACCTTGGTGATCTGCAGACAAGGTCGGGGTGGAGAGCAGTGGATAGTCCAGCTGGGGCAGGAAAGCAGGGGCAAGAGGGTTTCCGCAGTTAGGACCCTTGTCCCCACTTACTGCCTCATGCTCCTTCTCCAGGGCTGCTGTCGTGGGGTCCATCTCTGCATAGGTCTGGGCAGGGGAGAAATGGATAAAGGTGAATAGAAGTGGCTGTCAGGCTGTCCCTCCCCGGTCCCTGAGCCCAGTACTCCCTCCTGTCTTCCAGACCTCATCCCCTGAATGACAATCATAACCACACAAAGAGATCATTTGTTTTACCTGGTTCAGAAGCCCGCTGGTCCAAGCTCCTCTCCCGTCTGACCCCTATCCACACATCCCAGCAGCCCCCAATGCCTGAGTTTGGATCTTATACAGGATAAATCGGGCTAGGATCAGGAGGCCTGGCTCCAGTCCTTGGTTGACAAAAGCTTCAGCTGTACCAGGGGATTGACCCAGGTCTGCCAAAACTGTTGTGAGACGGATGTCTTCCATGCCCAAAGCAGGAAGAGTTGCCAACTCCCACATGTGCCTGTACCTGTTTCCTGAGCATCAGTGCTGGGAGCTGCCTGCTGTGGAGACTGCTGAGTCCCCTCCACAGGCACATCAGACTCTAGGTACCCAGAAGGAACTCAACTTTTCCTTCCCGCAATCCTCTTCTTCCTCCTGGGTACCCCCACCTCACTGGGAGCATCATCCTCAGTTCCCCTGCCCAAGGTCAGTAACAGGCCTGCTCTCAAGACTCCTCCCTCTCAGCCTGGCATTCAGACAGCCAAGTCCTAGC